CCCCAAAACCCCAAAACCCCAAAACCCCAAAACCCCTTTAGATTTACCAGATATTGAAATAATCCTTCAGGAGAAATTATGCTATTACTCACATCTTTCAAAGACTTGGTAAAGGTTCTCTAGACAGGTCAGGGTGGTGAAAGTTTCGTCTCCTTCGGAGCCGAACTTTGACCTGACCTTTAGGGACTTTTTTAGTCGTGGAAGAAGGATGTTTCTGATAATGAATTCTACACTTGAAATTTTTTCAGGGTCTTCTTCTGCTTGGTCGGTGTTAAGAGCATGATAGTAGATGAACCTTGAGTAATAATCTCCAAGAAGTTCTCAGATTTTCTTAAAGCACTTTATTTCTTCATTGTAATCAATAGTTGCTATAAGTTTAATCATAAGCACAGGGAGGTAATCAATGTATGGAGGTATCTCTCTGACTATCTTTGGGAGAGATCACAACTTATTATCCTTTATCACTATACTAAAGTACTCTTCGAGCATATCTTTTAGCATCGGTACTCCGGAATCTGATCTCCCGTCACCAATCATTGGAGTGTTGTATTTCTTGAGGTATCTCTCAGCCAACTCTTCCTTATCCATGTGTTCTGTTTCTCAGTAATTTATTCCTGGGAACTCCAGTCCAGCCATGAGGAGCTCTTTTAAGCAAAGAGGCTCAGTGAAGTTAAACTTTCCCAAATTCTGAAAATTGTACAGAGCTTGTTGATAGACATATTCCTTCATAAGAGGCCTGAAATTAGCTAGAAGGAGAATGGTATCATACTGGAACAAGACTTGGTCGTAATTGATCATCCCTACGTAGGAATGTGTCTTAAACATCTTGGCATAATCTTCATCAACATCTTGCTCAAACTCATAAATCAGCTTTCTGACAGACAGGAGATTTCAGGACACAACGGTGTTGAGATTCATGACATTATTTGGAGTGTCAATAAGCTCATCTTGTTGGGAGCTAGTGCCTCTGTCTAGAAAATTAACTGGATTATTGATACCATATTCCTTTCCACATGCTTCTACCTTATGAATGTCAGAGTCTAACTTCCCATGCATGATGAAGTGGTCAAGAGTAGTATCCCTGTGATCAATTCTGATCGTCTTCCTCTGTTCCTTTTTCTTTGTCTTGTCAACAGTTGGGGTGAGCTCAACTATTTCTTCGTGATCAAGGTCTCGGTCATCCTCCTCCTGAGTGAATTTTGCATCCTCCTCCGGGTCCTCTTTGGGAGGAGACTTCTTTTTGGACTTAGGTTTTGGCATGAGCTTATCTGCAGTAGGAGTTTTCATTTTCTTGCCTTTATCAGGATCTCCAAAATTGATGCTCTCATTTTGCTGAGAGAGATGTTTTTCTAATAACTCAGCAATTGCGTCTGAAATTTCATCTTGGTTTTCAAATCCGACTTCCTTCTTAGTAGGGTGCACATTAACATCAAGATCTCGAGGGTTCATCTCTAAGCTCAAGTACACAAAGTAATGATGACCTTGTGGCAAATATGCATGGTAGGCCGTATCAATGCCCTTCTTTACCCTCTCACATTTAACTAATCGATTATTGATGAACAGCACGAGGGTGTTCTTTTTGATAGAGTTCTTTGCATTTGCCTTACTACAGACAATTTCAACTTTCAAATCAGAAAAGGAAAATTCTTCGGTAATATCAAAGAGATCACTCTGCTTGATTCCTCCAAAGAGTCTTTGGATGAGGATTTTTCTGACATCATTCTTGGTTTTTCCTTCTCTATTGATGTTGACTGTACTCACGGGTGTGTTGTTTGACTCTAAGGCTTTTCATGTGAAGTTTATCATTCAGTAATGTAAAGAGTAGTTCATAACTACATTGACAATTCTCATAAATTCTTCCTTCTTTTTGAAGCTCAACTTCCTCTGCTTATTATTGTAGAAAAGGTCATTTGCTTTAATTTGAGTGCCGAAGTTGCCTGCACAAGCAATGGGGCTTTCGTCAGGAGCTCCATTTTTACCAACCAGCCTACAATTTTCAAAGTAACCCTTGTATGCGACCTCTTGATCAGCAGTTCTTGATGTAATTTCTAATTTTCCTTCGAGACTGATACTTGCTAGAGCTTCTCCTCTGAATCCAAAGCTAGCTACCTTCGCTAGGTCTTGGTATTTCTCTATTTTGCTGGTAGTAAATCTCTCACAAAGGATGGGGAAGTCCTCAACCTTGATTCCATGCCCATCGTCCTGAATCTGAAGAGTCTGAAGCCCGCCTTCTCTGCATGATATGTTAATATTCTTGCTACCGGCATCAATGGAGTTCTCTAAGAGCTCTTTGAGGGCAGCAGAAGGGCGGACGACTACCTCCCCTGCTGCTATCTTGTTTGTGATCTCTTCATCCAACTTGCTGATTGACCTAGCTATAGATTTTCTCTCTTCTTTTGCTTCCATTTCTTAGTAAAATTATTATTTAGCAACAAATTTTCGCATTTTTAAGAGTCTGGGAAATTCAAATTCGTTTCAATACACTGGCTAGAAAGAGGGGTTTTGGGGTTTTGGGGTTTTGGGG